TAGGTAGAACCCGTACAGTCTTCAATGAAGCTAAGTAACATTGGATTGCTAGGCCAAAATTCCATCGATTCATAAAAGTTGCGGGAAATACATGGATATTTTGATTCGATTTTGTTGCTGTGTTATCGGCGCATGCTTTTTTCGCTGTCAACATAGTCAGCGATTTTTACGTTTTGCTTTCTGAGCTCATCGTATCCACCACTACGTATAGGCGTTTGAATGTAGGAATAGAGTCTGGGAAGCTATAGTTTTTTGGACTGTACCATTACGAATTTTCAGAAAAACCAAAAAATTTTGAAGAAAAATAATACGTTGATAGTTTGATCAACTGTTGATTCATCGTTGCATCACTGATGTGACAAATTTTTCGTCCTCTCTCCTGGACCATTCTCATCCGCTGATGCTAGATAGATGCTCAAATGAATCTTTTCGCCACATTGTCGGGCTTTCCTATCCTGTTATGTTAACGTTGCGACGGCGCCGTTTAGTTGTCCAATCTTCTTGTCTGTTGTTTCTCATTCTCGCCGCACTCAACATTTTTCTTCTATTGGGGTGTATTGCCCCGTCGTTATGGCAAAAACAACTTATTAAAATGGAGCAGCTTGGAAATCCTTTGTAGTGCTTTAAGCATTCGCCGTTATGCTAAGTAGCATGGTGGGAGGTAAGCTGCAGCTATGTACGAGGCTTGAGCAAAGAGCCCTTCCAAGCACCCATTTAAGGTTAAGTGAAAATTTTATTAAAAAATGTAGAAATGGATGATAGAAAAAATCAAAAAAGGGTAAAAAAGAGGAAAAATGTAAAAAGAAGAAGTAATAAATTAGGTAAGAAATGTTTTGGTCCATCAAGTCCTATACATTTCTTAACATACCATCGCGAAGGAAGTGCGCCAAATTTTCATAATGATGAATCTGTTAATGGACGAAGTTCTCGAATTACTTTTTATTCGGATAACACCAAAGTTTGTGTTCCAGTTTATCGGGTACTAAATGCCCTAGGCTTACTTTGCGACCTGAATTTAAATTTTGCTTGCTTGTGGGTTTTGTATTTTTTTGTATAATTTCAAAATGCTCTTTTTTATTTTTTTAGGCAATGCTACTACTCACCTTAATGATATATGTACATCATTTCTTTGATAAAACTGATAGCAATTGTTTGGCACCGGTTGCAAACAAATGGCCGCGCGATGGCGTGCTGCGTGTCGAAGTTATCACTAATTTGGAAAAATTCAATGCTTACCAGGATAGATTACTAGGTAACATTTTCGTGCCTATATCCTTACGTTTGAGTACCTCACTATTCATCTAGTTTTGGTATTTTTAACAACAGTGATAGATTATTGCTTTAGACGCTGGACAAAAACTAAGTGTTTTCTAAATGTTGCATTGATGCACTTTTTGTGTATCACTTTTTATTATTACTGGGTACGCTTTTTCCAGAAGAATCTTATGAAAGACAAAGTGATAAAACGAATACAACG